CCGAAAATCGACTTTGTATTGTAGTTTCTGTTTCTTTTTTGTTCTTCGATTTTTCTTTCTGTTTCTTGTTTTTTATTTTGGTTAGTGAGACTCTGTAGACTATTGTATCTTGCTCGTTGATATTTTGGGCCCCCGATTTTGGGGCCCTGATCTATGCACAGGTTGGGGATCCAGCCCAATCTCCCGCCCTTTCGGGGCGTTGTTTGTTTAAAAAAAAAAAAACTAGCAACAAAAGACAACTAACCTAGCAGCATCAGACAACTAACTTAGCATCAAGAAAGAACTAACCTAGCAACAAAACACAACTAACCTAGCAGCAAGAAAAAAATAACCTAGCAACTTAAGACAACTAACCTAGCAACAAAACTCAACTAACCTAGCAGCTACAAATAACTAACCTAGCAACAACAGACAACTAACCTTGCAACAAAACACACATTTGGATCGAGCTATGATGCAGAGATTCAGGCATTACAGATCGGCCTTCAGATTGCTGTCCACCTCTCTAGCCATATTTGGATCGAGCTAGACGCTGCGGCTGTAGCCACCCTTTTGACCTCGGGCCACCAGGGCTCGTGGCAGATTCAGCACCCGCTTATGCGTATTAGAGCTCTACTCCGGTTTGTCCATCACAGGATCACGCACATTTTCCGTGAGGGGAACAGACCTGCCGACTATCTGGCCAGCCTTGGCGCCACCATACCAGACACACATACATTTCAGACCGACACTGCTCCACTCCGCCTTTGCACTCTTGTACGGATGGACCAGCTAGGATATCCAGCGTTCCGCTTTCAGTAGTTTAGGATTTTTGCTTTCATTAGTCTAGACATTTACTTCGGGCATCTGTTAGCCCGAAAATCGACTTTGTATTGTAGTTTCTGTTTCTTTTTTGTTCTTCGATTTTTCTTTCTGTTTCTTGTTTTTTATTTTGGTTAGTGAGACTCTGTAGACTATTGTATCTTGCTCGTTGATATTTTGGGCCCCCGATTTTGGGGCCCTGATCTATGCACAGGTTGGGGATCCAGCCCAATCTCCCGCCCTTTCGGGGCGTTGTTTGTTTAAAAAAAAAAAAACCTTGCAACAAAACACAACTAACCTAGCAACAACAGGCAACTAACCTAGCAACAAAAGACAACTAACCTAGCAGCAAGAAAGAAATAACCTAGCAACAAAAGACAACTAACCTAGCAACATCAGACAACTAACTTAGCAGCAAGAAAGAACTAACCTAGCAACAAAAGACAACTAACCTAGCAACAAAAGACAACTAACCTAGCAGCAAGAAAAAAATAACCTAGTAACTTAAGACAACTAACCTAGCAACAAAATTTAACCAACCTAGCAGTTACAAATAACTAACCTGTGCTACAAGCGAGGGGGATCTCCTTCCCCTCTCGGTGTGTGTGTTGTTCTGAGACTGGACGCCATGAGACCGAGACCTTTACCCACCTTTTTCTAGAGAGTGAGATTGTGAAGAGAGTGTGGGAGCATTTTGCCACTTGGACACATATATCCCTACCCACCACATATAGTTTCTTTGAGCTTCTGAGTTTTTTCTCACAGAGCACACACCTTAGACACGTGGGCTTCCTCATTCCTTGTCTGATCCTTTGGTTCACCTGGACAGAAAGGAATAGTGCGAAGCATAGGGATATTACTCTTATATTTTCTCACATTGTTTTGCAGGTAGAGAGACACATTTCACTCCTCATCGAATTGGACAGGCTCACGGCCTGAGACTGGACAGGCTGCACGCCACCACATCGCTACATGGTGGCCCCACCACCGCCTGTTCGGCACCCTCGACCCAGAGATGTTGTTTGGTTTCGACCTGACTCTCCGTGGGTCAAGCTGAACATTGATGGCTCCTTTGATCGCCACACTGGGGTTGCCGGAGGAGGAGGCTTGATCCGGGATCATAACGGCGCCCTCATCACCGCCTTCCACGTGTCCCTTCAGGCCTCCTCGAGCTATGATGCAGAGATTTAGGCATTACAGATCGGCCTTCAGATTGCTGTCCACCTCTCTAGCTACATTTAGATCGAGCTAGACGCTGCGGCTGTCGCCACCCTTTTGACCTCGGGCCACCAGGGCTCGTGGCAGATTCAGCATCCGCTTATGCGTATTAGAGCTCTACTCCGGTCTGTCCATCACAGGATCACGCACATTTTCCGTGAGGGGAACAGACCCGTCGACTATCTTGCCAGCCTTGGCGCCACCATACCAGACACACATAGATTGCAGACTGATACTGCTCCACTCCGTCTTCGCACGCTTGTTCGGATGGACCAGCTTGGATATCCATCTTTCCGATTTTAGTAGATTAGGTTTTAGACATTTACTTCGGGCATCTGTTAGCCCGAAGATCGGCTTTGTATTGTAGTTCCTGGCTCTGTTTAGTTTTTCGGTTTTCTTTTTCTTTTTGGTTCTTTTGTTTTTGATTTTGGTTAGTGAGACTCTATAGACTATTGTATCTTGTTCGTTGAGATTTTGGGCCCCGATTTTGGGGTCCTGATCTATGCACAGGTTGGGAATCCAGCCCAATCCCCCGCCCTTCCGGGGCGTTGTTTGTTTAAAAAAAAAAAAAAAAAACTAGCAACAACAGACAAATAACCTAGCAACAAAACACAACTAACCTACCAGCTAAAGATAACTAACCTAGCAACAAAAGACAGCTAACTTAGCAGGAAGAAAAAAATAACCTAGCAACAAAAGACAACTAACCTAGCAACTACAGACAACTATTGGGCCCCGATTTTGAGGTCCTGATCTATGCACAGGTTGGGGATCCAGCCCAATCCCCCGCCCCTCCGGGGCGTTTTTTGATTAAAAAAAAAAACCTAGCAACATCAGAAAAATAACCTAGCAACTATAGAGAACTAACCTAGTAACTACTAACCTAGCAACTAGAGAGAACTAACCTAGCAACTACTAAACTAGCAACTACAGAGAACAAACCTAGTTGGAAGGTTAGTTGCCAACGGTCAACGCCGGAAGTCAACGGTCAACGCCAGAGTCAACGGGTCAAACTAATATTTAAATAATTAAAATAATAAAAAGAAAAGAGTAAATCTTGGCCACACATGATATGTACCAAATCTTGTGGCTAAAAATGAGTCTTACGTCCTCTCTTTAAATAAGTGGATGCATTGGAACCAATCCCTATATATATATGTATCTTTTTCTTTAATATATGTATATATTGACCAATTGACGCTGCTAGCTGCTGCTAAATATATATATGCATCTTTTTCTATTTTTTTTTTGGGTATTATTAATAGACCTCTAAATATTTTTGTTTTTTTTTAATAATTAAGTTTATTATTTTGGGTTATTAGTTGTAGGTTGAATTGTTTTCTGTTTTGGCCTAGAGGAATTTCACTCTTTTGAACTACCTAACTAATATACTAATAGAGGAATTTTACAATTTTGTTGGGGGCCTGTGACCCCACTTCTTACAATGTGGATCCGTCAGTGGTCATGATCACAATATTGTCTATATATCACAGAAATACACAAATTGTTAATTGGCATAATATATATAATCTCAAACTGAATTAGATAATAGTAAATCAAAATTATCATACTCCAATGAAAAGTATAACCGTAAAATATTTTCAACAGTATAGATTTCAATTGATATTTCGATGTTATAACTTAAGCTAGAAAATTCTAACGGATATTCTTAGAGATCGACACTGAAAAATTTCATTGGTATCAAAGTTCTCTTGATTTGAAATTGGATGGCTCAAACATTAATATTAACATTGATTTATTATTGTAGAAAATTTCCGTTGTGATTATTTTTTTGACGGTAATTCAAACAGTCGAAAAAATTGATGTTGAAATCATGAAAATTTAATAAAGAAGTTATAATGTAAAATTGATCCTAACAGTTGTTATAACATTAAAATATTTATTGAAATTACTGTTAATATATATTATAGTTGAAATTTGATTATTTTCTTATAGTGTTAATGATTGTAGACCGAAATAAGTACCGTGTTATAATATATAAAAATCAATTATAGATTATATCATAAATTATATATGTAGTCAAACCTTGCATTATTGCCCTCTAATGCTACGATCCATAAAATCCGATACTATTTATTTGAAAAATTATATTAATATTGACCGACTCGAAGAATTCTGATGTACTTTCTTAAAATCCTACAAATATTTCTACAATCATAAAGCATTTACCTTTTCAAGATTGCTATGATGACAACAAATATTTTTAAAATCGTAATAAAGTATTTACCTTTTTCACTCTGACTACGATTCATCTCATTATAAAATAAAAGAACCTTATATTTTCATAAAAGTTCCCAAATCATGTTATGTTTTGAACACAAAATTTGTTATATTATGCCACACAATTACTTAATTAGATACAAGATTTATAATTTGTAATCATGCAATGTATAAATAATACATATATACATACATGGAAAAATTATCTAAAATAGGATGTACTAACGAAAAAATAAAAATAAAAAAGAAAAAAGAAAAACCCTAAACACATATTTATCCCTACCTAACCACATTTATATACTTCTCACAATGCCCTTATCGTTAGGGTTATCCCCACATTGACCTTCCTTCTTTATTACCACACAAATTTTAGGGTTCGCTTTTCGATGCTCTTAAAAACTTCCACCACTAACTTCCACATCCGTGGTTTCCACGCACCAATCTCCGCCGTCCTTAGTGCGTCAGCCCCTCTTCAAGTACCTCCGAATCCCGCGCGTGTGTGCCACCTACTACCGTCTCGCTTGACTAGGGTTTTAGGAGACCAATAGTGGATAGTGATAAGCAACGCATCTCGTGGCCTCGCTGGTGCAATCTGATTGGACCAATCTTTCTCTCTCCTCGTATACATACAGCTTTCTGTATCTATACTCGACAAAAGCGTATAAATACGTCGTATGTGTCAACAGTGAGCTGACATTAAATTTCACCAAAAAGAAAAACACAACACTCTCTCTCTCTATCTTTTGTTTCTCATTTTCTCTCTCTATCACTGTGAAATATTTTTTTTTCTCTTCGAATTTCAGACCTAAAAAAATCCCATTTTTTTCTCCCCCAATTTGCTAAAAACCCACTCAAAAAACAGCTCAAAAAAATCCAGAAAATCACAAGGGAAGATTTTAAAGCTCGTTTTCTATCAAATGGGGATTGATTTTCAGTGACCTGTGAAGAGATTTTTTTCTGGGCCGATCAATCACTGGAGCTTTTGATCTTAATTTCTTCGAGATTCGGAGAAAAGGTTCGATTTTTATGACACCCCTTTCTATTTTTTCGTTTTCGTTTGATGATCTGAAGTGTGTTTTCTTGTTCGAATCTGTGCTTAGTTTGTTATTTTAGCTGACTTTTCAGCTGATTTTCTTTATTATTTTTTTCGCCTTGACTGTTTATTTATCTCCTTATCTGAAATGGGTCTTATTATTTCATTTTTTTTTCTGCTCCTTTATGTTATGTCCTTTTTTATCTCATATTTCATTTGGGGTTTTCTCTATCATTTTATGTGCGGTTTACTGGTCTTGACTGGTTTCAAATGACCGTTGGTGAGGCTGTGGAAAATGGGTAAAACCCTAATTTGTGTTATTTGGGGGAATGTATGAGATCAATGCATGTGTTTTGGTTGTGTGATTCAATTTATTATACCGGTTTTGGGTTAATTTTGGATGTGTTGATGGACCTTTTAATTTCACTGCTCTTGTCAAGATCGAGATTTACATTCCCCCCTTGAAGAAAACCCTAATTAAAATTGGGTTTATCTTCTTGTTATTTGATGCGACTCGTTTTGCTTAGTTTTTAACGCGCTTAACTTGATTTTAATCGTCACGCATGCGAACATACTGAATCTTTGATTTGATGTTGCTTTACATTGCTTTAATTTTTTTAATTAGGGTTTCTATAATTGGTTTGAGTGCAGGCGTAAATGTTAATCATTTGTCGTTTTTTCACATATGTTATAACTTTTACGTTAATCAATTATGCTTTTAAGTTCATTACAACACATAGATTTGTACCATTTCTATATCGCATGTGGCCTTAATTTAATTCACTCAGAATTAGTGTGCGCATGCGCATGGCATACATATCAGTTTACTAATTGTGTCCATTCAGTTGTTTCAGATTTATTAAATGGATAGCATTATTGTTGTGGAAGAATGCAATAAGAGAAATGAATCTTTGGCTTTGGCATCCAAAAGTTTAGCTTCAGCTTCACTCGTCCAAATTAACTCAATTGCAATAGATATCAATTGTGCTGCAGAGGAGATTGATCAGTCCCCCAAACATGAGCATTTTTCGATACGGTAACAACTTATTTGGGGCCAACTCATAGATAGAATAACATCATTTGCTACTTTATTCTGTTCATGATTAGCTTTGGTGAATTTGTTTAGCCCAAAATTTGTTTATATATATATGCTCAATGCATCATGCTTTTTTGGGTGAAACTGTGTTTAGCTTCAAGCACTTATCCATATCATCTATCTCTCTATTTGAAATGGAGTCTATTCAATGAGATGAGGATCGAATAATGTAGTCTGATATGTATTTGCAACAAAAAAAAAATAAAAATAAATATATCATTACAATGTGTAATAACATCTCTTAATTTTCAGATTGTGATTCAGATTCATTCAGTGTTGTCCCTTACAAGAAATGTGTTCGCAAGTCTTAATCTTATTGTTCTTGATGTCTGATATGTATTCTCAAGTCTTAATCTTTCTAACATAAACATGCCTGAATCTTCTCTATTGTGGTGCATCTTAGCCAGCTAATACACATATATTTTGTTGGTTTTATCCTTGATGACCTGAAATCTCGATTTATGCTTTCTCTTATCGAAATCGGTTAACATTCGGCTGCAGTGCATATTATAGGTAATGAAAGTAAGCGCATGATTCATTTTTTCAATGCAGTGGGTTTGTCTCTGAAATGAGAAAAAGAGATAGGAAAAAATGTAATCCATTTGCTTCAGAAGGTGAAAGTAATAACAGCGGTATGGATTTACCTCCATTATCCGTTCCCAAATTCCGGTGGTGGCAATGTCCGAACTGTGTGCCTGAATTTGGGGATCATGAAAGCAATCTTGGTATGATATTAGCGGATAAAAGTGTTATTGCTGAAGGAAATTGTTGTGAGAATGTAAATTCTGGTGAAAAACAAGGTTTGCTCACACATAGCATACAAACAGGTATGTGACTGAATGTATGTAAGCCCGCGTGTTAGCTTTTTATTTATTTATTTATTTATTTATTTTTTCTCATTGTATATTTATTGAGTGTTTCCCTTTTGCAGGTAATGAGGAGACTAATTATACGAGTGATAAGATAATAGCTTATAATAATTCATGGTGCACAGATGGATATAAAGCTGCTGCAGGTAAGTTTATTGTTTGCATAAAGTGATCGAATTTTTATAGGAGTTTTTTTTTTGGTATTTTTCTGTTGTGTTGTTAGCCTCTTAAGAGTCAAGTATTCTATGTAACTCTATAAACTTCAATCTATATATTTTACTAAATTTCAAATCATTTGTTGCAGATATTAGGACTACAGAAGCTGGACCTTCTTGGACTGATGTTCCGGAAGCTAATCAGATCCAGCTAATAGAGGCACCTGCAAAATCTTCTGGTAATTCGGCACCGTTCATGAAATTCTCCAATATATTTATGATTTTTTTTTTTTTTTTTTCACAAAAGCTTCGACATTTTTTTCTTCCTCAGATGCTTCAGATAAAGTATGCTCAGCTGGAAAAGCATCTTCTGGCAGCGACAATACTATTGCCTATAGTGCATTACCTCACAAACGCAAACCGAAATTGAGGTCTTTGGCCGATATTATAAACGAGGAACGAAATTTCGCGTTCGAACATCCTAGAACGAAATCTCTATCATCATCTTCACAGACAGAAGACGATTCGAATCTTCAGCCTCGGTTAGATGTCTCCTTGGATGCTGCTGCTGCGAAAAGTACGAAAACGCCCCTGAGGAAAAGAAAGAATATAGTTCATGAGGATGATGGACCTCCCGAGACAAGCTCACCCACATTTATGGCCAAGAAATCGAAAGGCTCGATTTTAGAGCCAGAGAATAATATTAAGTCATACAAAAGAGTTGAAATTTCAGAGTCAGACTCGGAAAATGTAAGAACTGCAGGAAAGGCTCTGCCTAGTAAGTCCCGAAAGCAAAAAGCTATCGACATGAATAGGAAATCGAGGCGAACAATTATCGAGAACAGGACAGCTGTGCAGATGATGAGTAATTCTTCTCTGCATTGTGCAAATCTTGGAAATAATTTCGGCAATATAGGCGAATTGGGCCCGATTTTCAAGAAATCTGTATCTGGACATGAAAAAATGGATGTTTTCTCTGATCTGTCGAAGGGTAAGAGGCCCGAAGGGCATTGTACTGTCCTGGAAAAAGTTGTGTTGGACCTTTCCTTGAGCAGCTATATGGGTGCTGAGATGAATTCTAAAAACCAAGAATCTTCTGGAAAGTGTACGGGTATTCCCGATTTGAATGAGTCGTTTGTTGATAAAACGAATGTGATGGAAGGGCAGCAAGTGCCAGACTTTATTGAGACGAGGAGTTTCGCTGTACATGAATATTTGGTAATGCTAATTTCAACTTCTCTTTCTATTTCTTTTTTATTTTTTTTTTTCTAAATTGAGTGGCTTTAGTGTCCTGCTATTTGTTTTGCTCATCTATGGCACCCTGATTGGTTAAGTTGATTCGATATTTATGTGAAGGCCCTGCAAATAATGTGGCGAAATTTTTTTTAATAGCTGAATTAGTATATATGTTCACGAATATGAAAACATGCATCTGAAAGAGAACTTATTTTTCTGGTTGATACTGACGGATATAGCATTGGTCACTTCACACTCTGTGGTCAAACATTTTTAATTCAGTTTCCAATGATATTAACAACTTCGATTGGCCAAAAAGTTCTGCCAAATTGCTTCAATTAAGTCCGGTTGCCGTTTTTCCTCATTTGTTTATGTGTTACCTGCAGGTTGAGGCTCAATTTTATCTTGCCGGTTTAATTCCTCGATAATCATGATGCTTTTTAAGCTTTAATGAATGAAATTTTGCAATGTCAATCTCATTCGAGCAAAAATTTCATTCCCTGTTGATTGCTCATAGGAGATAGATGCTTTCATGGAAGGAAAATAAGAAAAGATTAATGCATTCTAATCTAATGTAACAAGTTGCTTTTCTTTGTAGCCATATCATATTTTACAGTGTGCATCTAACAATAATTTCTTTTTATCTCTTTCAGGATATATCTGCCCCATCCAATAACGAGCCTGCCCAAAACATATATTATAATAATAATACTGTAATTGAACGTGGGCCCTCCTCGGATGATATCCCGATGGAAATAGTCGAGCTCCTGGCCAAGAATCAACACGACAAGGCCCACGACAATTCGAGAAAACATCTCGGGCCCGAAGGCATCAATAATAATTCTTTTAAACAGGCCCATTATGTTGAAAATAACCGTGGCCCGTTCAATTTTCCTTTCAGAACCGGCCCAAACGTCGCGAGTGGTAAAATGGGACTCGGTCAGGAATTCTTAAATCCGGACAAGGCCCAATTCAGACACTTGAGCCCGTTAACAGCGGCCCACCAGAGGATACCGCTTTATCCGGGCCCAAATCCCCTGTCCAGGCCCAAACCAAGGGAGGGTGTGGATCTATTATGGCCCCCAAGGAGAAAAAACGTGACTTTCGATCTAACGGGTTTGGATGATCAAAGCTATAGGGGCAAAAGTGTTGGTTACTTGAGCGTTGATCAGGGGAAAAAAGCTGCAAATGATGAGTCTTTGGTCAAGGAGGGGAAAATCGGGCTGACGGGCTGTAGGCCCGTTGGGCCCATTGATGCGTATTCTAACGAGACAATCCCAGCCATGCAGCTGCTCTCCTTAATGGACCAAGGGGCTGTTTCGGGCTCATCGTTCAAAGTCGGCCCGAATAATAATTTTCTCGATAGACAATTCTCTCCATGCAACCATCACCCGAGGCTGAATAAAAACGATAGCCCGAACGAAAAATTCGTTGGCTCCTCTTCATTTTTTGTGAAAAGTAACCATATCAACGATTTTCCTACTTTGCTCAACGGTGCTCGTTTTTCAGGCGAAAGCTCGAAGAAATCTTTTTCACAAGGTAAATTAAACATTTTATTTTTATTTTTATTTCTTCTATGGTTTCTGTTTTTTTTGTGCGGCGGGCTAAATGATGATTGCTGAAAAATTCGGGGGATGCTTTTGCAAATTATACATAATCTTTATTTGATTTGGGGTTATGAAAATGTTGCACATTTTGCAGTCCAAATATTGCCGCCACAAAAAGGATATTCAAAAGCTGTCGATCAACTGGCGGACCCCAGTAATCTTGCAAGGGCTTCGAGAAGTGATGATCTTAAGCTGGAGATTTGCACACTCAATCGCAACCCGGCTGATTTCAGCATCCCAGATTCGAAAAATGTGTTCATGATAAGCGCGAAAGATTTGAAACCAAAGAAAAGGATTTCGTCCAAGGATAGAGCTCGGCCTGTGAATTTTGACGGCCCAAAAAAGCCAAAGATGAGAAAAAACTCGTCCGTAAAGAAAGCCAGAGAGAATAACAGTCGAGAGGGTTAATGAATCCTTTCGAGCTTTACAAATCTTTTCTTTTTATGTAGAAATCTTGTTTGATCATCTCCTTTTTTGTTATGGTTTGAGGTTTGATGCTCTAAGACAGTTTAGTTTGTGTTGTTTGTGTTTTTATGTGGGAATTTTATTTATTTTGTTTTTAGCTGATATTTTTCTTTCAGGATTTGTTGTTAATATGTGTACACAAACTCAGGTGGATCTCATCATCATCTGCGACTTGGAATTTCCATAAGTTATGATAAAGTTTTTACAGAGTTGGAATATATGTTTATTGCTGTATGTATTTTATTTAATTTCTTTAATTTTTAATTAATTTTATTTTATGTTGATTCATTTTATCCTGTGTGATTGTCATGACTCATGAGTACTTGGATATGGAATTTGTGATGTCTGTTTATTTACTATTTAGATTTACTTTACAGTTCATTTAGTGTGTGTGACTGTGTTCGAGTTTTTCAAAATACAGTTTTAAATTTTCCAATTATATTTGGGAATTCGGCTTGATGCTTTGTAATATTCTGTAAATTCACAAGATATAAATAGCTTTGCCTCCACATGTTAGTGCCAGAATATAAATTGAATAGAAATTGATTTATTTAGTAAATAACGAAAAATTCGACCTTACACACTACTGTAGTGTAATTATCGAGTTTTTTATTATTGAATTGAATTGTGTGTTGATCTAACAGTAGAAGACTCGATAACAACATTGTAAGTATGTGTGTGATTTAGAGAATCGGGTAAGAAAGTGTGGTCTCACGCAGATGAAATGCACCATAAGAGGTGAGTCTAGGTGCACTATAGTTAAGTTTCATCCCAAAACCAGTTATGCACTTAGGCATACTCTCTTATGGTGCGCTTCATCTGCGTGGGATCGCACTCTCTTACCCCGATTTTCTAAATCTTATATGATCAGGCTAACTCCGGCCTAGTCTCTATCTCTAAATTCGGCCTGTTCTAGGCTTGGGCTTGCTCTTTACTCGGCCTGCTTTGGGCTTGGGCTTATGAAAGACTCACAAGTGAGGTGGCATGTTGGAGTATTACTTGTGAGTTGTATTATGTTGATTATATAGGAAAATTTGGCATCATCAATCAATTTTGAGATGAAACATTACTAGACTCACTCTCTTATGGTGCTTCATCTGCGTGAGACAATGTGACTATTAAATTAGCCGAGTATATTTGCAAAATCCAAAGAATATTTATGATACACAATATTGTAATTGTAGAAGAAAATATATAGAAAAGTATCATCATCTGTGTACTCTATTAAATTGATTTTATTTTTCCTATAAAGAGTAAAGACAAAAAAACATCATGTCAACAAACTTGTAATCGTCACTATAAGGTTTGTGCTACAAAATATTTTCTACCTCTCAAAAGCATATGGAAGTGGGTCCGCTGTAAATATAGCTTCTAAAACCTTTCAGCTCTGCCCATAACTAGCTACATATTAGACAAAGACAACTGAATTAAAATTGATTTTATTTTATTTTATTTCAATATAATATATATATATTATTTTATTATATATATATATATATATATATATTTATATATATTTCCTCGTGATATTATTTAAAATGTAACTAAATATTAATACTATACGTTGAGTTCTTGCGACTGTGTGGCATGAACGGATTATAACCCTTCCTTAATTGCTAGCTAATTCATGCCATAAATTTCAATTTTTATATAGTGTATCACTGTATCTAGTTCATGATACAAAATTTGATAGCAAAATTTGATTAAGAAGATTCTTGATATACTGTGCATCTCAAGTATTTGCAGATAAAAATATATCATATATGGCTCAAATTAATATGATTTGACTATAACACATTTTTAGGGCATCATATATAAGTCCAATAATTAGTGGTGGTATCTTTTAGTCACTCTTAAAAATAGTGTCCAAAGACTCAAAACGAGGAAACATTGATTAGGACAGGTTTATCGAGAAACCCTAATATACTTGGTTTATAGTAACCCGAATTAATATAGGACTAATTGAATATTCTCGTTGTTTTTTTTAGATGTCGTTTTAATTTAAAACTTCTAAATTACAATTTTAATGAGTTGTGTAATTATCTTATATATTAATCCTCTTAAATTTAGTGTTTGAATTATTAATAGGTGATTTTTAAAGATAATGATAAGAGATAAAGTTTGTTAAAAAGGATAAAGTTGAAAGAATAAAATATTTCGGACGACAACTAATTTGCAAAAAAAATTGACATCCTACAACGACATGTATAAAAATTAAAAAAACAAAGGGAGTACAACACAAGTAGGATTTAAAGCATCTCCAATACTCAAATGTTGTTGTGGTAAATTACATGACACATCAATACATTTAGTAATATCACAACTTTCCATCCTCCAATGTAGAATGTGATCACAAATGTTGTGGTGATGTGGACATAATTAATGTCAACAATGTGGAGAAGAATGTGATTCATCCACATTCTCCTCCTCACTATAGCTTGCCAATTAAGAGAAAAGAAAGAATTATTTTTACCATTTTTAAGTTATTTAATTATTTAATTAATTTTCTTACTTCTTAATTAGTAAATTTTTAATATTTGGTAAGTAGATAATATTGTAGTTAGACTACATTGTGAACTTAACATATTTTCTACATAGTTCACAAACTATTTAATTTATTGACATTTGTCATAATTTATTCTATAATAACATTCAAGCATTGGAGATGCATATATTGGATGTTGTTGAAATAAATTCAAATATTTATAATGTCAAATTTTTTAATGTCACTAATTTTAATTATGTGTGATGCTATTGTGTTATTACTAATTTAAATTTATTTTAAAAAATAATGATATATATTAACTTTTGTTTAAATGCTAACACCATATAATTTTGAAAATGACATTATCTACCGTCAGTAATGATGTAGCCACGCTAACGCTATGACTAGTTTTCTCTCTATATATATTTAAAAAGGAAAACTATTGAAAGATTATAACAATACAAAATAGAATACTTCTACACTAATATAATGATTTACACCCAATACAACTACTACAAGCATCTATTACCTCTCGTTATAGTAATATCAAATGAAGAATCCTAATTCTACCAACTCATGGTTAGATAAGCCGATTGGTAAATTAATATGACAGTTTACATTAACTCTACGAATAACAGTTGTATATAATATGTCAAAGTTGTATATAGTATGTCACTTATAAATAAGTGCTTAATTAATTAATATTTCATAAATTTCTGACAATTTTAATTATAATTTTTCATTTATAAATAGTGTTAATTAATTAATACTTCATAATTATCATGCTAACAAGAATTGGTGTGTAATAAGAGCATCTCCAATGCTATGATTTTGAAAGGACATGTCAATTAATTGAATCAAACTATATCTCCAATGCATCAATTTGATAAGAATTTTATGGTTTTGAAAGGCAATAATTTTTAACACATGTCAATTAATGATTGTAATGTTAATTCACATATGAATAATGTTAAAAGACTGAAAATTTGAATCAAACTAGTATCTCTCATTCATCAATTTGATAAGAATTTATTTCTATAGGTGGACTAATTATAATAATCATTAATACAAGAATAATAAAAATTAAACTAAATATAAAGTGAATTAATGAGTCATCATGTTTAACATGGTGTTAAATATTAAAAAGTGAGTTCAACATTGCCAACATTAAATGTCATCCACATACATCATCATGAAAGAACTAATGACAAGATGCATTGGAGAATAAATTAGTAACAAACTTTCAAAAGTTGATGATATGGATAATTTTTTGCAACGTCAAAAGTCACATTGAAAATGCTCTAAATGGTGATTAATACTTTTATTATCAGATGCGGATTTTAAGATAGGGGGCCATTGTCCCCCAAAATTTTTAATTTTTAGTATATATATGTATGATAAGTATATTATTATTCACATAAACTCATACAAATATATTAAAATAATAATTGTATTACTCTTTCTACTAACAATTCAACTACAAAATTATACTCTTTTTACACTTTTGTATAACATTTTTTCTAATTTAAATAAATTGAATGTATGAAAAATATGTGAATACATAAAAATTGGTAATTCTTGAAAAAGAAGTCCATAGAAGATGGTTAATGGAAAGAAAAAATATCAAAACTATTAGTATTGAGTCAATCATTAATGAAATTCATGAGTTTAGAGAGCGTTGAATCTAAATTTATAATTATCAAGGTTTGGAACTTTGTAATTCATATTGTATTATTATTATATATAATTTTATAATACAACTTTCTATTTCTTATGTACATTAATTCAAAATATATAGCCCCTCAAAATAAATTTTTGGATACATCCCTATTTCTTATATAATTATAAAATTTTAAATAAAATACTTTTATTTAACCATCTCGTTTCGCTATTTAAGAAATAAACAAGTGTATGATAAAAAAAATAACTTTCTTGATCATCCACGCAACAAAATAAAAATCGAAATATTTTGTGTCCATTTTTACGCAGCCAAGCCATGTCGACATGGTACCTTTGAAAGATGGAGATGGTGACATGTGTGATTGTGATGTGGCCACGTCTTATTCTATGGTAATTTATGGTAACACACTAACATGTCACAACATGTGATTGTAATGTGGCCATGTCTGATTCTCTTCGGACACATCTTGTGAAACTTTATTTTTCACTTCTTTTTTCTTGGTATAGTCTACAATTGAAAATTTATCGGTATTTTTTACTTTTTGATTACCTTTGAATCAACAGACATATCAATATATATGTGTGTGAGAATATGTATTGATCCAATTGTTAAAAAAATCGTGTATTGATAAAACGGTTAAAAATATGATGACAGGTGACAGCACTGTAGGATAGAATGAGTCATTTGTTATAGAGAAAATTACCTCATACACCAAGTAAATTGTATTTTATTAAATAATTAAAAGTATTTTACAAATATTAGCAATATAGCAGGAATAAATTATATTTTATTAAATAATTAAAAGTATTTTACAAATATTAGCAATATAGCAGAAGCATGGTTGGCAGAATCTAT